ACACAATCAATTCTTTGGGTGCCATATAATATGCAATTAGTATAATTGAGCTATTTCCTTTTACCTTTTGTCTTTTTGATTTTACCTCTAGAAGTAGTAGATATATGAAAAGGATTTCCTTTTTGCAGTTTTATGCAACTTCAGACCAAGGGCAAAATGAATCTAGTAATCTCTGTCAAAGTTCTTTGGATGACTTGATGGCAAGACGCGTGGGTATGGTTTGCCTATTAATTGTTTATTTATTCTCATCAATTATTGGTCATTTATTTTAAGTTGTTTTCTTAGTTCTTATTTTCTGTTATTTCATTATCATTTACTGCAACAGCTGGGGTAAGTGCATCTGGCTACATGGATAATGGATCCAGCCCGATATTATATAATGTTATACGGTCACCCGTGAATACATTTATTGGACCTAGTCAAAGTTCTAGTGTTCCAACCAACTTGCCTTCTCCTGCAAAGTGGCATCCGTTCACAACCAATTTAACCTTCGGGAGCCAAACCACACTCTAGATGTAATGAAGTTCCAGAACCAGTGCATTTCAAGTTTCCATCTCCAATCCTTTCCCGAGTTTCATGATAATTTAGCCAAAAGCCCTCCATCTAACTCCTCAAGCACCATTCCGGACATGGTTAGCAGTTTTGTTTCCCAAATGACTGATGGACTTGATAATAGGAGCATTCATGGAGTGAGCACAAATGGGCACTTGATAGAACCTAAGGGAGGGGGTAAGTTATCTTGGTTAGATTTTACCATTGACAATTTTCACATAATTGCGTCACTTCTGACAACTGAGATAGAGAAAGCAACTATAATTTTTAAGAGAACTCAACTGCTAGTATTCTTTTAAGGTGTTCAGTTGACTTATCAGCTGATTCATTCTCTCTAGTTTTTGGATCATCTGGTAATGGGAGCTGTTTGCTTCATGGAAATCATTATGCGTGGAACAACTCCAACCCACATCAGCAGCACCCTTCAAGTGCCAGGATTTGGTCCAATTCACCCTCTTTTGTCAATGGTGTTCGGCATATGCCTGCATTTCCTAGGGTACCTCCTGTTATGCTGAATCCAGCATCACCTGTACACTACCACAATGGGTCGGCACCACCAGTTAATTCACCATTACGGACAGGCGACATGCCTATGCTGGGAAATCTCCTGACACCTCCAGTTTTCACTTAGGATCTGTAGGGAACGTTGGATTTCCTGGTAGTTCTCCATCACACCCTGTGGAAATTGCTTCCTACAACGTTTTCTCACATGCTGGTGGAAACAATGCTGTGGTACACTCTCCTCAGCAAATGTGTCACCTTTTCCCTGGAAGAAACCCTGTGATATCCATGCCAGGTTCTTTTGAGTCTCCCAATGAATGTGTGAGAAATTTCTCGCACCACAGAAATGAATTGAATTTTAATAATGCTGATAAGAAACAATATGAACTTGACATTGACTGCATCATACACGGGGAAGACAGCAGAACAACGATGATGATAAAGAACATTCCAAACAATTATGTGAATGATTGTCCTGTTACACCAGCTATTTTATTCTTTATTTACTTCATCTTCCAACTTTCTAGTTATACATTTGTCATTTGATTTTAATATTTTTCTTTATGTTGAAACCGTCATATGATGGAACATTTTTTCCTTCACCAAGGTCATGTCTAGTTATACATTCCTAACTTCCTATGGAAATTTCTTAATTTTTAGCTTGTTGTCATAGGTTCACCTAGGAATAGCCAGTCCCACCAACCAAACAAGCCCTAAAGGATCTAGAACCTGTAGATGTTGTGACTAGGACCAATAGCAATTGACTTTGAAATCAGAATTGAAATTCCCTTAGTTTTGTTTATATTTTTTACAGTACTGTGTGAGTCATTTTAATGACCATAGTCTATAATGTTGTTAAAGTAAATTCAGTGTTGGTGGTGAATGATTGATAATTACGTCATATGTGATACTATACCTGTTGTTTGAGGCCAAAAAAAAAAAAAAACCATTCTGTTATGGATACTTTTGCTTCTTGTTTCCCCTTTTTCCTTATCTACTTCGTTATCAATCTGAAGGCCTTTTTTATGCAGGTATACCTCAAAGATGCTTCTGGCTGCAATAAATGAGCACTGTCAAAAAAAAAAAAAAAAAAAAAAAAAAGAGCAGCA